TCTTTTTTTTTTTTTTTTTTTTTTTCTTAGTAGAATGGCTGTTTACTGGATAATATGGTATGTATTTTTAGATGAATAATTTAAGCCAGGGGTTTTGTGGTTTGGGTTTGTGTTTTTTCCTTGCAGTCACCACATCATTAACCCCAGAAGATGTACTGTTGACAAAACAGACCTCATCTAGTGGTTCTGGAGGAGCTGGTGTTAGCAAGATGTTTTTCACAGAGTTGTTGATAAATTATTCTAGGACTCTGAAGTGTTGAAGTAATGACATTTCCAGTTGATTTCCTTTGGGAGTTTCAGTGTTCACAGATGTAATAACCCATATACTTCAGAGCTGAGGAATAAATATGGGCTGTATGTTTTGTTAGGAGTTACTAACATAGACTTGCACAAATAGATTTAGCTCGCCTATTTATTATTTTTCATGTTGCCTAAACTTTTTAGGACGGGAGCAATGTTTAGTGGAATGCAAAGACTAGGTTTTGCTCTACTTCTGAAAAGCTCCTGTAAACGTGAAACGTCAGAAGTTAAAGGGACAAAAACCAAAACCTTGATCCACTTTGGAGCTCTCGAATAACTCTGACTCCATTCTTTTTGAAGAAGTAACACACGAAGCAGGTTGAATCACGTGGGGTTTGAGTAGTTGATCAAAATGTGCCTGGGAAGCAAGTAAGATAGCAGTGGTTTAAGGAAAAGTGTGGCTATTTTAAGTAGTGCTTTGCTTTTTCGCTTGTCAGGTGTGAGGTGGCTCTTGCTTGTGATGATTGAGAACTTCCTCATCCCCCTGCCTTTTGTGAGGGATAGCACAGCCACTGCAGTTTTGAGAACCGGATGATAAATTGGAAAATTGGTTCCAATTACAACCCTTTTCCATTTTTACCTGTTCTAAGGCAGGCGTGGAGTAGGGTGTTCAGCTGGAGAGATGTCCTTATTCTGTGGTCATCGCTGTGACAGGTCATGAATGCCCAGGGACGTGAATCAAAATCTTATTTTTGTCCCTAAAATCCTATTCTTGGCTCTGGCTGTATTTAATCAGTCTTAATGATGAGCTGCATTCGTTTAGTTGAACCATTTCTTACTGAGAAGTTACCGTGTGCAGAGATTTGGAGGCAGCAGTTGGGTACCGTTTCCACCTCTGCCGGTGTCGTGCTTTCAAATGCAGCACCTGGAGGCTTTTCCATTTTTACCTGTTCTAAGGCAGGCGTGGAGTAGGGTGTTCAGCTGGAGAGATGTCCTTATTCTGTGGTCATCGCTGTGACAGGTCATGAATGCCCAGGGACGTGAATCAAAATCTTATTTTTGTCCCTAAAATCCTATTCTTGGCTCTGGCTGTATTTAATCAGTCTTAATGATGAGCTGCATTCGTTTAGTTGAACCATTTCTTACTGAGAAGTTACCGTGTGCAGAGATTTGGAGGCAGCAGTTGGGTACCGTTTCCACCTCTGCCGGTGTCGTGCTTTCAAATGCAGCACCTGGAGGTCCCTGAGGCTTCTCCTCCCTCTCCTGCCATTACCCAGCAGCACTGCTCCGTCCCAAATAATCCCTTTTCTCCAAAACCACTCAAACCCTGCCCCGCACCCTCGCACGCAGCCTCAGGAAAGCAATTCGCCGTGATGCCTGGACCAACTGGGATCCCCTCCTTGGGCTGCAAATTCCTCCCTTTGGGCCACATTTTATCCACAAGCAGCCACATAATGTGATGCCTGAGGATTCTGGCTGAAGATGGGAAGGTTATTTTGTTTGCTTTCTTGTGGCTTCTCTCCCCGTAGTCCCCTCTCGCGGAGATTGTGGGCAATTTAGGGTGGGTTTTTTTAATACAGGACTTCATTCTTTTCCTTGCATGCACCTTCAAATGAGCTGTGCTGAGATAATGCTAATCCTGTAGGAGGGAGAACACTTAAAATGTGATGTTTGCTGGAATTTTTATGTTCACTCTTGTGGACATCATCCTGGTTTTGAGTATCTCCATCTTTACCTGCGTTCAGTGCTTTTATCTGGGGCGGCTGCTGTGACTCCACTCTGGTGTTTCCTAGGCTTTTGCTTAATTTCATTTGCTGATTAGGTTTCTAAGGGGAAAATTTGTAGCCTTCCTCTTTTAATGCATAGATAGAACAGCTGGAAGATGCTATACAAGGCACTGAATTATTTTTTTTCAAGATTGATACAAACTCTTGATGCAAATTGTCTTTTATAGGCACCATCTTTTATAGATGCTGTCAGCAGATGTTTTGTTTTCAGCTGGAATCTCAGGCTTTGGGATAGTTTGGAGTAGGAAGTGATCTCTCTGTGATTTCTTTTATATCTGGCAATTCTTTGGGACAGCACCGAATAGTATTAAAACACTGACCTCAAATCATTGTTCACCTTTAGAAGGACTGATAAATGATGGAGAATAACTGCTAAATGCTTGTTGTGCTGGAGGGGGCAATAAATTAGCAAGGATGAGGGATTCCCCATGAGATTCTTGCCTTTGAACTGCCACTAATGTGCTTTCCTGGGGCTTTCTCCTTAACTTTTCTGACCCACAGCTAAAGTGAAATGACTTTAAAATGTCACTTTGCTCTGGGCCCGATGTTGTCTCGGTGAATCTGGCTGTTGGTGGGCACGAGGTGGCAGAGACAGTGAGCTGTGAGATGCTTGGCATCGCATTTGCTTGTAACGTGCACTTTTAATTCTGTGTGGGGTTTGTCTTTCACCACAAAAAAAACCCCAAAACCCCCAAAAACCCAACACCAATTCCCAAAGAAGCCGAAGGTGCAGAGCAGGTTGATTTCCCGTGTTTCCTGGCGCACTCGTCTGTTCTCATAACTCAGCAGTTTTCCGTGTTGTACGTCCTCCCCGAGGAAGTTTGTTTGGTTTCACTCGCCTGTATCTCTGTGTCACCAAAAAGGCAGCGTGACGTGGTGGAAGGGTTTGTGTCTTGGAGGGAAAAACCTGACCGTCGGGTGGATTTGCCGACGGTTAGAGGTGGTTAATGACGAAGGGAGCTGCTAATTAACCCTGAGAAGAACAGTCGGAAGGCTGGAGTCACTCGCACGCCGTGGGGACGCCTGTTTGTGAGATTTTTGCACCATAAAAGACTCTGTTTTGTTTTCAGCATTCTTCCATTCTGGGGAGTGTATTTGGTGACTCCTATTATGATCAGCAGATGACAGCTAGGCAGGCTAATGCCCTATCCCATCAGGTGAGCAAATTCATCTCAGATTTTCAGCTATATTTCGGCCTCTTGCAGCTTAAAATAAATATAGACCAAGTTCTGATTATTTTCTTTGAGATCCCATTTTGTCCATGTAGTTTTACTTCTGTTTTATTTTTAGTTTGCAATACTCAGGGATTTCTTTTCTTTTTCCTTTTTTTTTTTTTTTTTTTCTCCTCCCCGGTCTTCCTGCCCCTTCCTCCCTCTTACCCATGTTTTTAAAGGTGTTCTGCCAAGTTTGTTGGATTAAAAATAATGAAAATTAAAGTTAAAAAAAAAAAAGCACCCCACTGACCGTTGAATGCATTTGGGAAGGATTCACTTGTAGGTGGGAATGATATTTACTCTTGAATTTGGCAAACAGCTCGTGCAGGGTCCCAAAACCAAGCCGGCAGCCCCGAGCCTTCGTTAGTTTGCAGTGTGTTAATTTATTCAACTGCAAAACACACTCTGGTACCAGGAAAAAACGAGCTGGCTTCATAGAGGTAGTGCTCAATGGGCAGATACCTGAGGTAGTCGCATGAATTATGGGGGTTTTTGTTTTTTTCTTTTTTTTTAACTTTGTTTTAAAGCTACCTTTTATTCTGTTCTTACGGTATCAAAAGCACCACTTTTATTTTTGCATCCATCCCCTCCTCATTCCCCCTGCACTCTGAATTTGGCAGCAAAGTGAAATTAGACCGTATTTTGATCAACGAAACCTAAAGATGAATTTGTTTGCCTGTCTCTTGCAACGTGACTCCCCCCTACTTCAGCTTTGTATGTTGTTTTGCTGCGTTTCCCCACGGATACGAGTAATAATTCCTTTGTGCCTTGGTCTTCAGCTGGAACAGTTTAACATGATAGAAAACGCCATTAGTTCCAACAGCCTGTACAGCCCCTGTTCCACCCTTAACTACTCCCAGGCAGCCATGATGGGACTCACGGGCAGTCATGGCAGCTTGCAGGACTCACAGCAGCTCAACTACTCCAGCCATGGAAACATCCCCAACATCATTCTTACAGGTGAGTTCAAAAAGAAAAACAAAACAACCAAAAAACCAACAACTCAGACTTATCCGAAGGTTAAAACCATCCCCCTGTTGGTGTCTCCCTTCCAGACAAGAAGGGAAAAGGGGTGGTGTTAGCTCTGAAGGTTTTGTGTCCCAGTTGGTGGTACCCATCTGGGGGATTCCCCACCTGATGGATCTTCCTTGGTCCCACCAAACAGTTAGAGCCGTGACGGCAGCGCTGGTTGTCTCATGGCCCTTCCCCACCTCTCAATTTACTGCACCCTCTGCCAGGGAGAGGGAAAAGCAGCAAAAACCAAGCTCCTTCCTCTGCTGCTCTCTTGGAGCTCGGCAGCAAAAGGGGTTGAGTGTCACTGGGTGTCACATGTGGTGGTGGATCTGGGCACGGTTGGGCGTTTGGAAGCAGTTTCTGCACAGGCCACTGAGAAAAGTGGAGCTCGGTCCGTCTTTCAGCCAAGGACTCTGCTGATTAGAGTCACCTAAATTAAGGTTATTCCTCCTAAAGCCGAGGGGGAGAAAAGGGACTTGAGTGACACCACTTTATGGCCCCCAGAATATATGACTTGGGCCTTGTGTTGGGTCATTGTGATGGTTTTGAGACGCTCTGCCATGAATTCATCCAGCTGGACATCATGGAATTCATCCAGCTGGAAGGGAGGGTGGGTGTTTCTCACCTGAACTTCAACCTTCCTTCAATAAATTATTCCTGAATTTTTGCCAGCTGTTTTATGACTCCCCTACCTGGTGAGTATCACTTGCTAAGTCCTCCCAACATCTCTCTCTTCCCTGCAGTGACGGGAGAGTCCCCTCCCAGCTTATCAAAAGAACTGACCAGCTCCTTGGCGGGAGTGGGCGACGTCACCTTCGACGCGGATTCCCAATTCCCTCTGGATGAACTCAAAATTGACCCTTTAACCTTGGATGGACTTCACATGCTCAACGACCCAGACATGGTCCTCACCGACCCCGCCACAGAGGACACGTTCAGGATGGACAGGCTGTGAAGGCAGGGAGGGGACACCGGGAGCCTGGGAATGACCCTTTTGTGTTCCTTGGAGCCCAGCCCGACCGGAGAGTCCGATGGGTCAGTGGTTTGGGAAGAGGAGGAGCTGCTGGGAAGTGGTGGCTCCGTCCTGTTACAACCTTGTACCATGAGTAAAGCTTGTCGTTCTGAGCTTGCAGCGCTGCAGCCCCCCGCTCCCCGGCGCGCCCTTCGTCACCCCGCTCATTGCCATTAACGAGGAAGGAGTTTCCATCACCCTTTTTTTCCTCTCCGGACCCCTCTTCCCCCTTCCCACCCTTCCCCCCCCCCCCACCAAAGCTCCAGCGTTATCAATTTATCCTTTGCACTAGAAAAGGGGGTGGTGGTTTTATTTTTTTGGGGAGGGAGGTTCAGAGCGAAGGGTCAAGCGATTCTTTCCATCCTACCAAATTATTGGCTGCTGTTTGAGAGGGGGAGTGATGTCTGTGTGTCCCCCTCCCCTTTTTTTGTGTGTGTCCCCCCCCCACC